TCACTGTACATAAATTATATTTCAATAAAAAGCATTAAAAAAAAAAGAAAGAATGAAAGAAATCAAACAATGTATTACATGGGGCATATCTGCCACAAAAGGCCTCTGTAAAGAGTTAAAGACCAAAAATATCACTTTGAAGGCTAACATGCATCTTACCCAACCCGTAGTATTTTCAATAGCCTCATAGGCATGTGAAAGTTGGACAGTGAATAAGTAAGACCAAAGAAGAATTGACGTATTTGGACTGTAGTGTTAGCCAAAAATATTGAAAATACCACGAGTCACCAGAGAATTAACAAGTCTGCCTTAGAAGAAGTATAACCAGAATGCTCCTTAGAAGCTAGAATTGCTAGACATTGTGTCTTGTATTTTGGTCATATAATCAGAAGGGAATCCTAGAGAAGGATATGATGCATGGTAAAGTATAGGGTCAGGAAAAAAGGAGAAGACACTCAAGGAGTTAGTTTGACACAGTGGCTACAATGATGGGTTCAAGCATAGCAGTGATTATGAGTATGGTGCAGGACTAGCTATTGCTTTGTTCTGTTGTACATTGGGTCATTATGAGTCGGAACTGACTTGATGACACCTAACTATAATGTGTATAGTTAACTGTAGGTCTTATGTAGATGTTCTTTGAATTTGGAGATGCCAAGAGGTTCTCAAAAACATGTTCAAGTCCAGTGATTTACAAGACCTCACAGAACTCAGAAAAGCTAATATACTCTAGCTATGGCTTACTATATAGCAAAAGGATACAGGTTAAAATCAGCCAAGGGAAGATGTTCATGAGAGGCCATATGTAGAGCTTCCAGTTGTCTTCTCCTGTTGGAGGTGTGCAGACATTTATCTTTCCCATAGCTATATGTGACAATATACATGAAATATTGCCAGTGGGGATATCCACCAGAGTTTCGGTGCCCAGAGTTTTACTGGAGACTGGCCACAAAAACATGACTGACCACCCATGTTACTGATGTTATTCTCCAGCATCTCTTGAGATCAGGTTGACACTTTGTGGCCCAAGGCCCTTAGCATGAATCATATTGGTATCATGAATTATATCTTCTGCAACACTAGAACTATCAGGAAGAACAGTCCAAGGTCTTGTAGGCTATCTTCCAAGAAGCAAGAGCAAAGGGCCTAATATTTCTTTGAACGAAGTTAATCCTTTAGTAAACACCCTCTCTTCCTAGTTTTCTGAGAGCTTTTATCATAAATCTATGTTAGATATTGTCAAATGTTTTTTCTGCATTAAATGATATGGGATTGCATTGCTTGTTTTTAAATACGTTTTGCAGTAACATATCATTGCTTCCCAAATCTATTGATTTTAGCAAAGCATTTATTGTTTGGGCCTATGCTTTTGTTAATTGTTTGGGTCCCTGTTTGTTGAGGGAAGACCCTCTACGAGACGGATTGATGCAGTGGCTGCGATGATGGACTCAAGCATAGCAACATTGTGGGGATGGCACAGGATCGAGCAGTGTTTTGTTCTGTTGTATTTAGAATCATCATGAGTCAGAACTGAACTGACAGCACCTGACACCACCACCACCACATCATAATCTCAAGCAATAGAAATGCCTGATTTAGTTTAGAAAGAACTTCAGCTATTTTATCAGTTGTATGATATTGTTGTTAGCTCTAGGGTTTTTGTTGTTATTTGTTTGCTTTAAATATCAATATACTTCATTAAACTAATATCTGATTTTAGTTTTCTGAAAAATTTTATTACGATTGGGTATTCAATTTCGTCAAATGCTTTGACATCTATCGAAATACCCACATGTCTTTTCTCTCTTCCACTCTTTATCGAAGAGTTAAATCAACATGGTATCTCTATAAACCCCAGTTGGTCTTGATATTTTCTTTTACATTTCTTTTAAAT